CACACACACACACACACACACACTAGCGTCAATGGCTCACATCAACACTTCCGCCCACGACCACCAAAGTAAAACCCAATCTAAATCACTGGAACTGACCCCTGGCGGCCACAGGCCACCCGTTTTCATATTTAGATGAATGTTATTAGAATAAATAAAATCAGTTTTAAAAGTGAATAATATATTGTTCAGATATTATCTTGTGATTTTAAAAAAATCAAGATTAAAAAAGTTTGCAAATAACAGAAAAACAGGCCTTCAAAAAGGAAAAACAGATCACAGCGCACTGGGTTTACTCTGGGCACCAGCAAGTGCTCCTTAAATGCAAAAGCACAACATAGCAAGAAATTTAAAAAGTTACGCGCCATTCATTTCTGACTGAAAGAAGAATCAGGACTGACCTGCTTCTTAGGTTTTTTCATTCTCCATGGTTCATTTTTTTCAACCTTATGTCTAAATTTTATCTTGCCATGTTTATTATATTATTATTATAATATTATTTTATTGCTGCTATTGTTCTTGTACTATTTTACGGTGACCTTGAGGGTCTTAAAGGCACCTATAAATAAAATGTATTATTATTATTATTATCATCGTTAAACTGTAGCGCAGTAGTTGAGACTGTTATGCTAAAGTCACTATAAAATATTTGCATGCCAACCGAGTCCACGTGGATGTGTGTGTGGCCTCTGAGATACATCTTAATTCAGAATACAGTAAGCTTAAACTGTATGTGAGAACAGGAAAGGAAATATTTAAAGTGGAAGCTTTTTTTATTCATGAGAATGATTTTAGGTTTCTTAGATCTAAACACTATACAGTGAGTCACGTAAGACAAACAATAAAACACTATTAGAACAAAGGGGGCCCATCAGATCTGATCAATAGTCAGATATTACACAAAGCTTGACACTTCCATAAATCCATCTACCATGTGTTGCAGATTGCTCAGACCTCCCTCTTCCCACACAACACTCTCCAAAGGGGGCACTAAGAGGATATCAAGCCAGCCAAGAGACACAACTGACAATCTCATGTCCAGCTGGGATCGTCTCCCTCCCTTTTGGCATGCCCAAATCCAAGGAGGACCCCTAGATTAGAAACCACATCATCTGCCTTCCTCTCAATTCTTACATTTTAAAAATTTCAACCTCACAGCAGAAATAATCATGTTTGCAGTCTGACAGAAACCAAGACTCTACAGATATTTTCTTAAGAAGTGCTATACAGTGGGTAAATATTTTTAGAATGCCTTTGTTTTGTTAAGGAAGGTAGCCACTTTGAATAGCCGGCAGCTGTGTGCCAAGCTTTACCTCTGCTAATTACAGTTGGACAAACAATAAAACCTGCTGCCAGATGCAGAGAATCTGTTTGCTTCAGTTTTGGTGAGTTCAGTCTTAGTATTTGATAAGTCTGCTACCTAGTAGTTGCTAGCAGATGTGTGTGTTTAATGTTGCATTCATGCAGTTCATTGATGCACCTTATTAACCAAACATGCTAGCATGCAATAACTTAGGCTTCCAGCCTCTTGTCCAAATATGGTCACTCCTGAAAACAAACCAAATATTCTGACAGCCAAAACATCCAGAAGGGCGACATACCTGTGACAACATCCTTCTTTTAGATACAGTCTGTGTGCCAGACTGACAATGGAAATGGCGGTATTTGGCAATAAGGTGTACACACACCTTTGCTGGGTCCATGTGTAATTTCTTTTGGGAAGTCTGACAAATGAAGGGATTTACACATTAGAAAACCAACATGAAATGTGGTTACGTCACTGATAAACTCACTGATGTCCCCCAGGTGAAATGCTAACATTATCTAGCATATTATAATTCATGTTTTCTCACTTTATAAAAGCAGCAGATATCCCACTAACAATAACAAAAACACAAGACCATCATTTCTTTATACATCAACCATAAAATGGATTTATTTCACCAGAGGTCCAAACATATTTTTGTGTTGCCCCAGGATGCATAGAAGATGTCAGTGTATCTTAAGAATTCAACTTCCGCTAACACAAACCAGTGTTTACAATCTAAATGTTCTTTTGCTCGACCATTGGTTTAATAATAAAGCCATGTGTAATTGGTGTTCATATATCAAAATGCCTCTGTCTAACTGGGACAATCTTACAATCGGCGTGAAAAAGAAAAAAAAAAAAAAGAGAGAGAAGGAAGTGATAAAAGGAGTTGATTTAAAAAAAATAATTCCATCTTCATTTAAACAATTGGACAGGTGTGATTGTGGAGATGCGTAAAGAAGAGTAAGGCTACTGGTACAGGTTTGTTTGGAGAGAGAAAAATCCTTGATGTTTTGTTCCATCATCACCCATTTCTCTCCAAAATGAATGTGTGGAGAGAAATGGAAACTTGTACAAAGCCACATCATCATGCGATAATAAACTGGCTTTGGTTATGTGATTCTGGTCTGTGCTGTTGAGACAGAATCAAAGTGAGAATCTGTCACGGTGTGGATCTGCCAAAGCACCGGCTACTGACAGCTGATGGGCTGAGTTAAGGTCTATAGAAAAAGAAAAGATGGGTTAATGGAAAACAAACAAATCTTTAGTGAACACCTTTATAACTAAACTGTCATTCAGACTGCATCTTCAGGCTCCGACAGGCTCTTACATGAACTCTGTTCCAGTCTGGAAGATTTTTAGTTTCGTCCCCGTTACCGTCTTTCACAGACAGGGAGAGGGGGGAGAATTTGGGGGGACAGGGCTGTGAAGCAGAGTGTTAAGTTTCACTTTAGAAAAACAAAACTGAGAAATTAGAAGTCCATACATAAGTCTGTTTTCTCTCCACCCTCGATAGGGCAGCAGGTTTCAAAGAGCTGCTTAGCCACACCACAGGGAGAGGGAGGAGTGGAAGAGGGGGGAGGGCAGCTGGAGGAGGGGGACAGGGAGAGGGTTCAGGGGGCTGATCTTCCTCTCTCATCCTCACTTTAGCCGCTGGACGATTACAGCATTGAGGAGGTTGGCTTGCTGCAGCGTCTGGCTCTCATCCATCAGCTCCTTGTTGGGGAAGGTGGTCATCAGGACGAACTCTCTGGCAGCCATGGCGGGCCGGGCCGCCACCACAAAGTGCCGCAGGTCAGACACCCTGAGAGACACAAGGACACAGCAGGACAGGAAAGAAGGGTTATATGACAGGATGAAATCTGACAATGTTAGCTTCTACTCTTTGATACAGGACCGATTTCACCTTCTTTGATTATTTAGGCTGGTAGCACTGACCAAGCTAAATGTTGTCTACAGACTCGTGTACCACAGTTTGTGTATCTGTTTCTTTCTCTCTTCTTTAAGAACATGGTTTGTATTGGTGTAAAATCACAGTGTGTAGGGTTTATGAGACAGGGATTCAATGATTTACAACCCCCCAAACCTTGTGTCCCTAATAAGACACTTGAAACAACACAATGTCTCTGCCTTAACAATCACAAGGACTGGTTGCATAACTGGGACCAAATATCTACAGATCTTGTCCTCTTCATATCCACATCCAGCAGAAACACATGCAACTTAAATTTTTTTTACCTGTGGGTATGGTTGAACTTTTGGACCAGCCTGCCACCATCAGCAAGTCTGATCTGAATGTTAGTGACGGGCTGGGAGGGGTCGAGGGTCACTGAGGCACTGGCTTGGGCCTCGTTGGCAGCTTGGTCCTGCTGGGAGGTGGGCGGAGCTGAAATCAACTCTGGTGTGGCGCTGGAGAGAAAAGGGCAAAAAAAAAAAAAAAACTTGACCAACGTGAACAGAAGTTATGAATGCAAAACATACACAACGTATACTTTAAATACATGAATGTCAACATCTGAAGAATAAAGTAGCTACTGATTTGGTTTGCAGTTATTTTCCAAACATTTGTCTGAAACACTTTAGTTTGGGTTTTGCTTTTCCATTTGCTGCTTGCTGATCGATTTTACTGGGGTTGTATTCAATCAAACATTTAACTATTCAAATTACATGCTCCTGCAGTCCCGTGGACAGCAGACGATTTCATGGCCTGAGGAAAAGGTTTTTAGCTTGAGATTGTATTATTTTCAGATAATCACCGGCCTATAAACCACAACACTGTTCTGGAAACTGATAAAAGTATTAAATATCCCCATCCACAAATAAATAAAGAAAATCAAATAGTGAGAATTTCGATATATATTACAGACTTCTTATTTTATGTTAAAATCTCTCTTCAAACTTTTTTTTTGTGATCAGCATTTTATTGATTTACAACAGGAATGGGGGTGGGGGGTTACAGACATATACAGCAGCGGTCTCCAACCTTTTTTGCGCCACGGACCGGTTTATGCCCGACAATATTTTCACAGGACCGGCCTTTAAGGTGTCGCGGATAAATACAACAAAATAAAACTAGTACTGGTACCGAAAAAAAGAAGATTTATTCATAACACACGATGAAAAGACCCAGGAAAACCAGAGTTAACGATAAAAACGATAACAAAATAACGCTGAAAACCGATAAAAACCCTGAAAACCATACATTTCACACCTGAGCCTCAACTCTCGCGGCCCGGTACCAAACGACTCACTGACCGGTACCGGTCCGAGGCCCGGGGGTTGGGGACCACTGATATACAGCACAACTGTAAACTGCAGTAGCAAAGCAAACATTGGTCACAAGGCATGGGGACAGGAAAGAAAAAACACAAGGTTACAACCACTTATTGCCTCTTCCAGGAAATAACTTTGGATGAGAAGATTTTCCAAGCTTCGACAGTCGTGGGTTATTTAATTTTGCTCTGGTACGTTCAAGATTAATGATACGGATAAGACATCGTATCCAGAATGATTCCATACAAATGTCAGGATTGAACCATTGCTTTGGAATAGTCTTCTTTGTACTTACCGTCAACATGCATGACTTATGCAGGTTATTAGTAACCTTGGAGTTTCTATGACCCATAGAAACCAGTAATTCATCCAGATGATTCATGAT